CCCCAAAACCCCAAAACCCCAAAACCCCAAAACCCCTAAATACAAAGAAAAATTGACAACTTTTATTTATAAATAAATGGCAGAAACTCTCCAAGAAGTGCAAGTGAGAGAGATCAAGGTGTTCACATCTGAGTTAGTTCTTTATAAAAAGATCGTACAACGCATGAGCATATTTGGGAAATCTACAGAGTGCATCAACCCTAAACAGTGAGTACTTTCAAGGTACTTAGGCACGCCATAATCTTTTGGACAATTTTTGCTGAATCCATCCCATTTGCGACATTATGTCTGATCTTTGGTATAGAAACGAAGAGATATCCACAGAGATTCATCAGACATCTGATCTTGATCCTAAATGCTTGAGGAAAGAAATTTCAAACCTCAGAGGTAAAACACTGTCTGTGCTTTGACTAAAATGGCAGGTGATGAGTCTTCATGAGAAGATTCAAGAAAGAAAGAGGGTCTACTCCTTACTCCCTTTTGTTATAAATGTGCTAACTTTTCAGAACTTTGATATCTCACGTAAAGAGTTCAGGGATATCATCTTCATGGCTCAAAACTGCAAAACAGTAGAGTTTAGAAGTTGAAAGATAGATTCTAGTGAAATTCAGTTCAGAACAGGTGTTTTGTATAGAATTCAGGAATTAAAATTTAACTTCTGAGGGAGTAAAAGTAACAGTAATTGGGTGGAAAATCCTGATAAGATTAACTCCATCATCAAAGCGATCTCAGGATGCTCCCTCAACACCTCACTAAAGTTGTTGAACCTTCATGGATTCTGATTCGAAGGTAGTGAGGCTTATAAATTAATGATTGAGTATGACTTAGGCCACATTATGGTCTTTGCTGGAAAATGATATAATATCAGGCCAAACCCAAGCTCATTGAAGGAATCTTTTGAAGAGCCTGAGAGTCATTTTGAGAACTGTATTATTCAGTAACCTTATAATTCCATAATATTTTTCAATCTCCAACCTCATCCCGGGGTTTTGGGGTTTTGGGGTTTTGGGGTTTTGGGGTTTTGGGG